AACGGTGGCCGGGAGTGGCCACTGCACTCCAGTCTGGGCGACAGAGTGAGACTCCAACTCAAAAAAAAAAAAAAAAGATTCCTGCAAAGGGTGAGTTTATAAATGCTGAAACACAAGCCAACACGGTTGGTGTGGTCTACACTGGTAGGAGAGGTTGGAATCCTGAGGCTGGCTGGGAAAGGGTTGTTGGGAGAAAAGTCAGAACAGGTGACACTTATGGAGTGTCAGCCTTTTTAAAAAACACAGCTTACAATAAAACATAATTTAAAGTGTCCAGTGTTTTTTTAGTATAGCCAAAGATGGCACAACTATCACCACAATCAATTTTAGAACATTTTTGTACCCCTAAAGGAAACCTTGATAGTCCTGCTCTCCATGAACTTCCCCTTCTCGTCCCAGCCCCTAGCAACCTCTCATCTACTTTCTGTCATTATAGAATTGCCTATTCTAGATGTTTCTCATAAGTAGAATCATATAATACGTGGACTTCATGTCTGGCTTCTTTCACTCAGCATCCTGTTTTCGTGGTTCCTACATGTTGGAGCACATGTCGGGGCTTCCTTCCTGTTTATGGCTGAGTAATATTCCATTGTATAGACAGGCCACATTTTGCTTATCTATTTACATGTTGACGGATATTTGGGTTGTTTTGGTTATAGTGAATAGTGCTGCTATGAATGTTCATGTGGAGGTTTTTATGTGAAATACGTTTTAATTTCTCTGGAGTATGTACCTAGGGGTGGAAATGCTGGGTCACATGGAAAATTCTGTGTTTAACGTTTTGAGGAACTGGCAGACTGTTTTCCACCAGCAGCTTTAGTGTTTTATATTCCTACCGGCAGTGTACGAGGATTCCAGTTTCTTCATACTCTTGCCAACACTTCTTTTTTTTTGAGTTGGAGTCTCACTGTCGCCCAGGCTGGAGTGCAGTGGCATGCTCCCAGCCACCACAGCCTCGACCTGCTGGGCTCAAGCGATTCTTGTGCCTCAGCCTTCTAAGTAGCCGGAACTATAGGCACGTACTACCACGTCTGGCTAATATTTTGATTTATTGTAGAGATGAGGTCTTGCCAAGTTGCCCAGGCTGGTCTCGAACCCATGGGCTCAGGCAGCCCTCTTAGCTCGACCTCCCAAAGTGCTGGGATTATAGGCATGAGCCCCCGCGCCCAGCTTGCCAACACTTATTATCTGTCTTTTTTTTTTTGAGTTGGAGTCTCACTCTGTCACCCAGACTGGAGTGCAGTGGCACGCTCCTGGCCATCGCAGGCTCGACCTGCTGGGCTCCGGCGATCCTTCTGCCTCAGCCTTCCAAGTAGCTGGAACTACAGGCACACACTAACATGCCCAGCTTATTATTTTTTTTAATTTATTGTAGAGGTTGGCCAAGTTGGCCAGGCTGGTCTTGAACCCCTGAGCTCAGACAATCCTCCCAAAGTGCTGGGATTACAGGCTTGAGCCTCCACGCCCAGCCAGTTTTTATTTTTTAAGATTTTTGTTTGTTTGTTTGTTTGAGTTGGGTCTCACTCTGTTGCCCAGGTTGGAATGCAGTGGTGCGAACATGGCTCATCACAGTTTCGACTTCCTGGGCTCAGGCGATCCTTCCGCCTCAGCCTTCCAAGAAGCTGGGACTACAGGTGTGTGCTCCCATGCCCAGCTAATTTTGTAGAGATGAGGTCTGTGTTGCCCAGGTTGGGAGTTTTTAGATTATACTTTAGCCTTACAACAAGGCTAGGAGGTGGACAGTATGATTTCCATGGTGCAGCTGAGGAAATTGAGGGTTCAGAGAGGTATGCCAGTTCCCCTGGGGCCATGCAGCTTTTGAAAAGTGGGTGAGGTGTTAGACCCCAGATGTGCATGTTTCTGTCATTGCACGGTGAGGAATCCAGTGAGATGTGGCATAGCGAAGGGAGAGGCCCATGCTATATTTATGCATTTCCTGACTGTTGGGGTTAAGAAGTTAACAGGAAAGGAAGAAGTAACTAAATGACTGACTGCCTGGGCCCCGGGGTCTCTCAATTCCCAGGTTCGCAGCTTCCTCCCAATTTGATGCAGGTTGGGTTGAAAGATCAAGGGTGCTCATTGAGGCTGTCAGGAAGCGAGCTCAGGAGTGGTATTTGATCTGGGTCGGGTTACTTACCAAGTAATTAATGCTAAATGATGATTAGCAAGAAATGCTTTGATCTCCCACCTTGCCTCTAGGAGAACAAAGCCCCTTTCTGGAACTGATTAGGCGCTGGGAGGTCATTTCTAATGTGGTGTCCTTCAAATCCAAGATGGTACTGAACCACCATCTATCACCCTTCACCCGATTGGCTGTTTCCATGAGTGGTGTTGGATTTGTTTTGATCTGTCTACGCTCTGGCCGCTTCCTTTTATGACCAGTTGGCGGGATTTTGGGGGCCTGTCTGTGACCTTAGTGGCAAGGCTGGGGAACCAAGCTTATTTGAGCCTGGCCTCTGACCTCAGCCTTATTAGCGAGCTGACCTTCTGCTCACCAGCCAGAAACTTCTACTGACTGGCTGGCTGGTTCATTCCCAAAGGAGGAAACTGAGGAAGGAGGAGGGACCGAGCCATGGCTACCTCTGGCAAGCAAGCCAGTGGATGCCTCCTGCTTCTTAATTCATTATCCCTAGTGGCCCAACCAGGCTGCCACTTGAATTTCAATTATTGGCAATTTTTCTGGAGTGTCAGAGCAGAGAGGCTGGAGTGTGTAAGACAAGTACCCTGATGGGGACGCGGGGATAGCCCTCTTGGATCCCGATTAGATCAGCTTCCTTACAGGGATATTACAGGGTCACCCAGGAACCACCACGCAGTGCCTGTGTCACATTCAGTTTTGGCTTTGTTTCTCTTCCCTCTC